AAAAGAAAAAGAGAAGTGATGTCAAAGATATCACAAGGGCCAGCAATATGGCTAAATGAGTAAAGGTGTTTGCCATTAAGCCTGATGACTTGAGTTCAACTCCTAGAACACACATATTTGAAGGAGGAAATTGACTTATGCAAGTTGTCCTTTGACTTACACATGCACACAGTACATCACACACACACACACAAACAGAGAGAGAGAGAGAGAGAGAGAGAGAGAGAGAGAGAGAGAGAGAGAATAAGTATATATTTAGAAGCATCATCAAAAGATAAAAAAAATAGGTGGATACCTGTAATCCTAGTACTCAGGAGGCTGAAGTCAAAGGAATGAATGTTGAGGTCAGCCTGGACTACACAGCAAGATCTTGGTTCAAGCGAAGGCACCATGAGGGTCTGGTGTGGTTAGTTAGGGTAACATTGGTCAGAGTCCTGTGACTAATGTCTGCTGAGTATTGTCACCATATCTCTGGCCTCAGTACCTTTCCAGGCCATGGGGACTCAATGACTGTTTCGTTTTCCTTTTGATGCGTGGTCAAGGTTTCTGCTCTGTTCTAGTCACAGCATAACCTAAGCTCACAAACTGTCTCTCAACACTTTCAGGCCAGTCTGGCCAACTTGGTCTCCTGGGATGCTCATATGACTTAGAGAACGAGGGAGAAAGCCTGAGTTCAGGTCCCTGCTCACTTCATTTGTCACAGGAAGACCTTGAGCCATGGCTGACCCACATCCTCCGGGACTTACAGGTTGCTCTTCCTGCCTTGTTCCACACCCCTCAGCTGCCCTTCACCACAGGATTATGATGGACACGAGGTGGGGGGAACCAAAGCCATCCTGGGTTAGGAATGGGACTGTTTGTTTCAGAGGCTAACCACAGGCTTGCATGCTGTTGTACTTGTTTGCTTTTCCTTCTGCCTAATGAACGGCATGCACAACCATTTAAACCATGCTTACCACAGGGACATTCCGAAAAATATCGCTTCGTTCTGTTCCATAATTGCTTTTCTCATTCAGCAGGAGGTTAGCCCTTCTCAGCAGTGTGTGCATGCCTGTGTGTGTGTGTGTGTGTGTATAGTATGTCTTCCATGCCACCTTAGTTACAGCATAATTAACACTCCCTTGTCAGCTTACACAAAGATTTTGCTGTAGAAAGGAGGTACCAAAGGGGAGAAAAACTGGTACTTGAGTGCCACCTAGTGGTGTAAGACTGCTTGTCACTCCTACCCAGACCTTCCTGGGTTCTGCACTAGAGTTGTAGGTCTCCAGAACCTGCATCAGGATTGGCAGTTCACAGTCTGCACTCTGGCCCATGTGGCAGTTCCCTGTGTGTTGTGTGGGAGGTGAAGAAGCCTCACTTGAGAATCATCCTTCTCCTGGGCAGTGGTGGCACACGGCTTTAATCCCAGCGCTTGAGATGCCCTACAGAGCAAAATCCAGGCAGGACAGCCAGGGCTACACAGAAAAACTCCGTCTTAAACAAACAAACTAACTAAACAACCCTGAGTCTTTGTTTTCATGACTGTATTGCTTAGGGTAAATTTTAAGAAGTAAAAGAGAATTTGGTGTTGTTGCCAGGCAGCGGTGGTACACACCTTTACTCTTGGCACTTAGGAGGCAGACTGCTCTCCGTGGTGAGTTCTAGGACAGCCAGACCTTGGAAAAACAGGAACAAAACAAAGAATCGGCCTTCTGTATGTCATTTGTAGGAAAATGGGTTGAGCTAGAAATCATCATGTCAAGCAAAATCAGGCCAACCCAGCCATGTTCACACACACACACTCACGCACACATGCATACGCGCACACACACATACATACACACACATACATACACACACATACATACACACATACATATACACACATACACACACGTGCACACACATACATATACACACATACATACACACACATACATACACACATACATATACACACATACACACACGTGCACACACATACATATACACACATACATACACACACATACATACATACACACACACACACACGTTTAGAAGAATTCCTTAATAAAAATACAGAAGAGTGTGTCAGTGAGGTGTCTTGGTATATATCCTGCCTCCAAGCCTATGGATTCACATGGTGTAGGGAGAGAGAACCAAAGCCCAAAAGTTGTCCTTTGGCTTCCACATGCTTCCTCTGGCATGGGTGTGCTCATACACATAAAATAAACAAGTAATTTTCTTTTAAAAAGCCCACCCTAAAGCAAAAGAATCCCCCCACACACACACACTGCCAAAACTAAAGAGCTGATATGGTGTCCTTCTGGAAACGTTTACCAAGTTCAGCCATATAGGCGCTCAGAGAACACTTGCCATGGTCCTTGGGGACCCAGCTATCTCTTGAGTTAGCAGCAGAACTTACCATTATCTATGTGTTTGCTGAATGCAGAAATTACAGGGTCATGGGCTTACATCAGGTTTAAGGAATAAGCCTGTGGGTCCACACGGTGTGTGGAAGGGTTGGCTTCTCTGATACGGGAAGGAAGACTAGCTTTCGGTAGATGCCTAAGGACATTGAAACTGCTGGGGATATGGGATGTCTACTGAAGAAAGCTGCAGGTACTCAAGAGAGCCAGCTCCTGGGAGAGGCCGTAGCTGCAAATGGCAGAACCATGGGCACTGGAAATGCCTGAGCCTCTTGCACCTCAGACATCACCTTAAGCCCTGGGTATCAGATACAGAGCTACAGAATCTCAGGTTTACTTTGCTGAGTTGCCACCTTTTTCTTGTTTAAAGGTCTTATGGATAATGTCTCTGTGTATGTGTGAGCACATGTGTGCAGGTACCTCGGAGGCCAGAGGAGAGCAGGAGAGGGTGTGAGTTGTTGCCCAGCGTGGGTGCTGGGAGCTGAGCCCAGGTTCCCTGTAAGAGCAGTTCTCTTACCCACCAGATCGTCCTCTTTCCAGCACAGTTTCTTCTTGCCGCTCTCCCTTGCTTTTCTCTTTGACATGGAAATGTCTCCTCGGGTTTATGATGAGTGAGAACTGTACACTTTTTCTTCTGATGGTATAAGGTTTATAGCTCTGTGTGGTTTCCTTTCTGATTTTGCAGGGTTCATAGCTCAGATTACCTCAGAAGAGACTATACTCTGGCTACTTCTGACTACATGCGGGTGTCTTAAGAGATGGACATGACACATTCTGGGCCAGGGACATGTTTTGAATTTGCAGGAGCTCCCCCAGATTTACATTTGGAGTGCTAAGTCCTCAGCTTGTGGCTCTTATTTTGAAAGCTATGGAGCTTTTAAGAGGTGTGGTCTTGCCACTGGAAATAAGACTCTAGGAGCAAGTCCTTGGAGGTTATACCCACCCCTGGTTTGGGCTTGTGGCCTCGGCTTCCTGTCCCATGCCCATGTGGACAGCTAGCGTCTCATGTTCTCAACACCAGATGGAACCACTCTGCCATGCCTTCCCTGCTGTGAGGGACTGAGACAGCGATATGAACCTCTCCTCTCTTGGGCTGTCTGTGGTATTTAGTCACAGCAATCTTAAAGTAATTAATACAATATCCAACCAAGAATTAATTGACGTGCTCCCGTGTGGGCAGCTATGAACTTATTTTTCATTGTTTTGGAAACAAACCGGAAAGATGGGCACTGAGCCAGGATATGGAGGTAGCAGAGGCTTCCCTATGCCTACCGTGTATCAATTTTTTTTTCTTTCTCTTCTTTCTTTCTGGTCCTTCCAGGCCAAAGGTTCTCTCTCTGAGCTGTACCCAAGTCTTGCCCTCATTTTTTTTTTTTGTAGTTGAAAGTCTATTCATGAACCCTTTATTCCACTCACACGGACTTTGATTCATGTGTTCTTAAGAATTGTGCTTGGATTGTTCATGAAAATTTCCTCAGACATTAAAACAAAGCTAGGAGTCATCTCAAGTTATTTCCATGTAAATTATCTTTTTACAGCACATACATGTTAAGCAAGTATCAAAAAAAAAAATCAAGCCCAAAACAAAAAGCTATTAGAAAGAAAGAAAGGAAGGAAGGAAGGAAGGAAGAAAGGAAGGAAGAAAGAAAGAAAGAAAGGAAGGAAGGAAGGAAGGAAGGAAGGAAGAAAGAAAGAAAGAAAGAAAGAAAGAAAGAAAGAGAGAAAGGGAGAAAGGGAGAAAGAAAGAAAGGAAGAAAGAAAGATAAATACAGCCGGGCAGTGGTGACGCATGCCTTTAATCCCAACACTTGGGAGGCAGAGGCAGGTGGATTTCTGAGTTCGAGGCCAGCCTGGTCTACAGAGTGAGTTCCAGGACAGCCAGGGCTATACAGAGAAACCCTGTCTCAAAAAACTAAAAAAAAAAAAAAAAAGAAAGCTAAATACATGGGATTTTGAATTTTGTTTACAGCTTGTGACTACACACAGAGCCGGGAACACCAAGCAATTCCTTTCTGCTGCATCTTTCCTTTTACATTTGTTCTTAGACTGCCTAAAACATTTAAATACAAATAAAATATGTAGCAAAAATAAGGGAAGCAAGTAGCAGGTAACTTTACAAATAATGGAATGTGAAGTGTTTCTTCTCTTAGAGTAAACTGGGTCAAAACTTTGTCTAGGGACCACTGGTAAAGGGTGTGCGTGTGGAGACACAAGATATCAACGCACGTCCATCCACAGTGTGTTTGTACCACAGCCTCACAAGTGGCCCAAACCTTAAAGTACCCACAGACATTACACTCCAGTTATTCCTTTTGTTCCCTACCAACATAAAACCAATAGGCAGGCGGTTTTCTTTGCTCAGACATGGAAGCGGTTTTAACACAGGCCCTTCCAAAGCCGTAATGTACCAAGAGCACCATGCTAAACGTGTGTAACTCCTGTAAAAATTCCACATCCCCGTATTGGTGAAAATGAGTACATCCTGGAAGTCAACTGGCCCTACTCAGCTGTTCCTGCCTACATTCTTTGAAAGTCCTGTTGTCTGGTCCACTAGGAACTCTAAGGGCACACCTGCAAACAACCATGTCTTCCTTCCCCTGTCTCCGGCAGGCAGACCTCAATACCAACATCGACAACGAGGGCAGCCCCTTCTATGGGGTCTCCAGCCAGTATGAGAGCCCGGAGAACATGATTATTACCTGCTCTACTAAGGTCTGCTCGTTTGGCAAGCAAGTGGTGGAGAAAGTTGAGGTAGGAGCCCGCCTGGTAGGTGTTAGGGCAGAGGGGTGGTCTGTGTGCTCCCTTCAGCGGCATCCCCCTGTGGGCAGGATTGCTAAGAGAGGCCCTGGGCCGAGGTGGATTCTATGTCACTTCTGTGGCCTTTAAGGAAGTGCATATTTTGGGTTGGGCATGAGGCATCTGATAAGTTACTGATTTAGTTGCCTGTCCGGAACCTCGGAGCTCTGACTGACTCTTCTGGCTGGGATTCCTTTCAAGCCTTCCTTGGAAGCACCCCACATCTTCTAGAGCAGGGCCAAAGCACAGGCTAGCCTAAGGATTTCTCCCTAATCCAGCTGGGTGTGGGGCTAGGAGAGGCAGAGGCAGGTGAGATGGATGTGCAGGGTTTGTTCGATTCTCACTGTTTACTCCTGCTGGAAACTTGTGGAGTCCCTTTGTTCCAGTTGTTTGGGTTTTTGTAAGAGCCAGGGTGTGCTAGACAAGTCCTCTACCACTGAGTATACCCTCAATCAACCCTCCTTCTCCCTCCTTCCCTCCTTCCCTCCTTCCCTCCCTCCCTCCCTCCCTCTCTCCCTCCCTCCCTCCCTCTTTCCTTCCTTCCTTCCTTGATATAGTCTTTAGATGACCCTATCCCAGCAGCACAAAGCTTGCTTTTCAATTGTGGAGTGCCCCAGAGACCTTACACTTGGGAAGAATTTCCTGCTTCTCTTCCTCTTACCCGGTCAAGGGCAGGCAGCCTGGTGGTGACCACAAGCTCAGAAGACCTGAGTTGATCTCTGTACACTTCCCCACCCCAGCTTCTGTTGGATGTTTGGGGTTGTGTTAACACCCGCCCCCGCCACACACACACACCCTGCCCCTTATCTCTAAGGAAGTATCAGTTTGTCCTCACCATCTAGTGGTGTCACATCCGATAGCTGTGACATTCTGATCCAATTGTGTCATGACAAAATGGCACCAAAGCCTCCACCCCAGCATACCTGTGGCCCTAAAGTCTATGACCCTGTGCGATGCTTAACACTGTGCATGGTGTCAGTTTGGTCACCAGCTAGGTACCACGAGAAGGGACCTTTGCTTTGGGGTCCCAATCCTAGTCTCCAGGAAGCTTCTGATACACGTTAGCGCCACTGAGGTCATTCGTGCAAGCTGCTCTCCATCTTGGGAGTGTAGGTCAGTAGTAGCAGTGGGAGTGTGTAAGTGTGTTGTGTTTTGTTTCGTTTGGCGCTAAAGATGGATGCTAGGACACACAGCGGCTAAGCGTCTGTCCTGCCTCAGCAAAGGTAGTTTTTAAAGGTAGCTGTTAAACTCCCTTTAAACGTATCATTAAACGTATAGAGGTTTTGAGATGCCTGTGTCTCTATCCAGTCATCATCCCACGTGTCATTCCTTGAGCTCCTGTGCCAACAGTGTCCACCACCAAGTTCATGCATGTCAAAGGCACTGGCACCCTCCCCCACTGCAGCCCCACGTGCAAGGCCTGCCTACCTGCCCTAGCTCAGTGCTGCTACTTCTCGGTCTTTACATTTCCCTCTCCTGAAAGTGTCTGCCTGTCTTGTCAGTGACAAAGGGGAGAGTCCTGGCTTCACGTCCAGGGGCCTCAGAGGATGACTCTCCTCCTGGGCCGTCTTCTGCCTCTCTGTCCCATTGGTGGTGATTGGGTTTTTGTACATCCCTGCTGACTTGGGCTTGGGCTGGATGTGAAGGGATTCTAAGCCACTGTCGTCCCTGGGGTTCTACAGACAGAGTATGCTCGCTATGAGAATGGCCACTATTTGTACCGCATCCATCGGTCCCCACTCTGTGGGTATATGAAAAACTTCATCCACAAGCTGAAGCATTTACCTGAGAAGTACATGATGAACAGCGTGCTGGAGAACTTCACCATCTTACAGGTATGACATGGGACCGATGCCCAGGGGGTTGTACATCAGCGGGTGTCGCCAATGGCTTCCCTACCCAGGGTTTTGACCCTCACCTTCTTGCCTGCAGGTGGTCACCAACCGAAATACACAGGAGACCTTGCTGTGTATTGCATATGTCTTCGAAGTTTCAGCCAGCGAACACGGGGCTCAGCACCACATCTACCGGCTTGTGAAAGAATGAGAGACTTGGAGAGTGATGGTGGGGGGGGGACAAGTCCAGGAAATGGGGACCTGGGAGGGAACCTTCAGGGACAGCCCCCGGAAGTGCCAAGAGAGCCAAGCAGAGTTGCCAGTTCTCTTCTTACCAGGAGCAAACTGCCTGATCTTGCAGTGCTCAACCCCCAATAAACCCAAGGTGTCAAGTGTTTTCAGAGGAGCTGGTTTGGCCTGTATAAGCCCAGAAGGGCAGGGGAGAAGGGGACACCAGGAGGCAAGCTGGAAGCCATGCCCAGAGGTGCACCAGGATGGCCCAGGAAGCAGAACCCCGGTGGATTCAGCCAGGCATATCAAGACACCAGAGCTCAAGACCCAGTGGTCCCTTCTCAGCTGCTGGAACCCCACACTCTGCTGCTGGTCACACTAGTGGCCTGAGGACAGATGGCATGTGGATCACACACCCAGAGATGCTGTGTGTATGACTTTGTGTACACTGTCGGTCCTGCCATCTCTGCCTGAGGACGGCTACAAGGCCCCACCCCTGCAATTGGGGCTGGATTTAGGTGTGGTTGCAGCACAGTAGTTGGACAGAGACTGGGTAAGAGCTGCTCAGGTGGCTTTGTTCCTGCAGGGGGCCTAGGCTCCAGACTGAAGCAAGGCTTGGAGGTAGGTAGGGTACCCTGCTCCAGGGCCAACATTTCCAGCTGCCTGACTTTGACAGGCTCCCCAGCTTCTCTGTTAGTGCCCTTTCTTCTCTGTTCAGCACTGATGAGGGGAAGATGTCTGTAAAGTCTCGTGGTGCCAGTTAAATGATCTACTCCCTCAGTCCCTTGCTTCTCTCCCTCTGGAGGGTCTGGATCTGTCTCTCTGCTGCCCTCTCAAGGCTTTCTGGTGTCTGCTTCCCCAGTTGGAGCCAGTTCTGGTAGTCTGGAGCCTCAAGAAGAAAGATATAACCTGGGTATGTCGGTGTGTGCCCAGGACTCAGGGATGCATCTGTGAGGATGCAGAAATGGGCAGGGTAGCATTGTGGGGATGCTACAGGGGTGAGGGACAAGGGCTCTGGAGTCAGTCTAACCTGACTTTGGTGTACAACCTTTTTTTTTTTTAAAAAAAAAGTAATGCTGTGGTGCCTCAGTTTCCCCATCTGTAAAATGGGTATAACATTCACCTACCTCGTGTATGGACAGTGCCTCACACAGTGCTGAGCACAGCCACGTATTCAATAAATATGCATCGGTACTAACTAACCATGAGAACTTCCGCTTTAGCTCAGGACCCTGGCCGAAGAGCTGTATGCACTAGAGTGGGTTGGTCCCTACGGCAACTGAGAGGAGGAATCCGAGGGTCTCAGGGAAGAGGTGGTCCTTGAGGGAACAGGTTATGAGAGGAAGGTGGCTAATATTTATTGATATTATTTCTGTGGTTTTTGGTGTTGGGGCCAGGGTTTGACACAGGCTAAGTGACCATGCCAGAAGTATGCAAACAAGCATATGGGAGGGGGCTGGCTGCATCTCAGATGGACTGACGGACAAGCCACCCAGTCTTTCTGTAGGTCCAAACTCCCTCTCCTTAACACAAAGCAATTTACCCCATGTCCTGCTCCCCACCTTGTGAGGATGGTGGCTGGACCCAAGCCTGCTTCCTTCCTACTGCACTGTGTAAAGGTCCTGCTATCCAACAGGGTCAGGGGTCCCAGAGAGACTACTGCCTCCCTGGCCTTGTGACCAGGACTCACCAGTCCACAGTCCACATGCAGATCCGTGCTTGCAGCTCCCCAAATCCTAGCCCTGGGCCCCTCCCCTGCTTATGCTGCCCAGGAACAGCATTCCTGGAAGCCCCCAACCTCAGACATTTTAGACTTCTATGTAGTCAGCCTCTTGGGACATGAAGGGTACAACCTTTTCCTATTGGAAGCAGGTCAGTCCAGATGTTGGGTCCCAGTGTGGGTCCTACATTTTTCCTGTGTGAACTGACCTCAGTGGCCTCATGGAAAGTCACCATAGAAGACCGTCTTAATGCCTCTCCATTCAAGTCAACTTGTCCTTTCACATAGGGCACCTCCCTTATCCCACCAAGCTGGTACTGAGGTGACACCATTTATCTTTTTGAGATGAGGTCTTCCTCTTGACTGGCTATTGTTTCCAGTGATCCTCCTGCCTCAGCTTCCTGAGGAGCTGGCAGTATGGGTGCTCCCCACTGTGCCCTGTACTCCTATTTTAAAGACTGAGAAAGCAAGGCCCAGGGAGAGCTTTGGGAAGTTGCTTAGGTTGTTGGTTTATCTTTTTCATTGGCTTTGTGAGTGGTTGTTTGACTTCTGAGGTGTGGCAGACTCCAGGAGTGTGTCCCTGAGCACAATAGACAGGATGGCTAGGAGCTTACTTTGGACTGGGGGCGGGTAGGAGCGGTGACCAGAAGCAAGTTAAGGAGACTTGTAGAAAGTGGGAAGTGCTGTGAGGGGTGGGTACCCAAGGTCAGCTCCACTTTAGGGGAGGCTGCGGAGGCTCGGCCTCTTTGCTGACCTCTGTACCACAGACAAGTGGATCCGAAGGAACATGGCAAGGGAAAATGGAGAGGCCTGGAGACAGGGAGGGGATGGGTGTGTCCCGAGGGCGTGCTGACTGACAGAGGTTGGACAGACCCCCAAGCTAACAGCAGGTAGGAAGGTAGGCAGTTCAGTCCTGTGTGTCCCTTGCACTCCCTGGGTGGATGTGCACTTTGGAACGCTCTCAGGATGGTAGCAAGGCCTGGATGTGTTAAGCAAGGGAATACATTCCTTTGATGCTATTTTTAGAAAAGAGCCCAGAGCATTTGGTTTGTACAGAGGAGCAGGTGGAACTGTGGCTCCTGAGCCCGTCCAGCCTGCTCCCCTGGGCGTCTGGGGGTGGAAACTCATTGTTTTCTGAGTCTGTTCCACTTGACAGCAATGCGAAAGGCAAGTGAGAGTGGAGCAGGCACGACCACCCATGTCACTGGGCCTGTGAGATGAGCAAGGGTCCCCAAAGTCCTGGGGGTAGAGAGCCCTCCATCCTGGGAGTGGAAACCTTCCGGTGTTATCTGGTTAGCAGGAAATGTCACAGACCTCAGTAGGGACAGGTGAAAGATCTTCTGCCTCACAGGATCTGACACTGATGGAGCAGACTGTGCCAACAAAGTGTCACAGGAATGGAAAGAATGTGCCCTGACCCCACCCCCACCCCCAGCGCTAACCCCAAATGAAAAGACCCCACAAAAACAAAAACCCAAACAGACAATTAACACACAGAGAGAGGGAGAGGGAGAGCGCTTGTGTATGTATGTGTACAAGTGGCTGTGTCCCAGACCTCTGCGATAGGCCTTGTGTCCCTAGTCTATGGCACACCCAGTCTTTCCCAGGCTGGGGACTGAGTCAAATGGCAGAGGTTGGAGGACTAAGAGAAGGTAGTGACAGGAGCAGCCTCTGAGACCCTGGGGCAGTGTAACTTCTAACTGGCCACTCAGGCAGAAAAGTGGGAGTTTCCCCCGGGGTTTCTACCCCGTGGCCACCTGGGTCAGACCCCCCCCAACCCCCCCCTGAAAACCTGCTAGAGCTACAGTAACAGGGGTCAGTGGCACCTCAGATAACCTATCTAATAGACAAAAAAAGAAACTTCCTTCTCCCAAAGTCTTGACTCTGTATACAATGTAGCTAACTGATATGCCCAGCCAGTAGCCTGGCTGCAGAGCTATAATCCCTCTGTCCCCCAACCCCTGACCCCTAAGAGAGGAATGAGACCATCATGGACTACGCAGTGAAGCCTAATCTCTGAAATAAATTTCTTTAAAAAGTGTCTGGAACTTGGCTTTTGTATATACACTTAGTGAATTAGAAAGAGCGCAGGGATGCCTGTGCCTTCCTAGAGAGCCAGAGCCCAGGCAGCGGCAAATGGGGGCTTTTGGCTTTTTTTTTTTTTTTACACTCACAGATGTCTAATATTCAATTTTAAGGTTTTTGTATTTTTTTTCTATGTAAACCCCCTTCATCTCTTCAAATCTTCAGTAAAGTCTGCTACAAACACAAATGTCTGCGTTCATGTGATGTCTTTGTGCAGGGATGGAGTTCTGCGCCTGTTACAAAGCACACAGACCAGTGGTGTGCACTGGAGCACACGGACCAGCGGTGTGTATGGGACAGGTGTGCACTGGAACACTCGACCAGCAGTGTGCCTAGGGCAGGTGTGCGCTGGGACAGACCCTGCTGAGCCAAACCTTTGAGAGTAGAAACTGAACTCAGCGCTGAAGAGTTAGAATGCTCTTGAAAAGAGCATTGGAGGAGGCTGGCTTTGGTTCCACAGCACAACCAGGTACCTTACTCAGAACAACTGCTCTCCTGTGCTAACTGAACTAATGTAGGGTTCAGAGAAGCCTGATGCAGAAGCCCCACCTATACCTGCTACACTCTCTCCCTTTGCTCCTGGTCCTTAGCAGGCATCCGAGAGGCCTTGCCTGGATGTCTGGGCCTGCCCTTCAGTGGACACCTTCCTCCCTGGACCAGACTCAGGAAGGACAGCAGATTCTTATTTGGGTTGGGAGTTGGGGACATGACTGAGAGGAGAGTTGGGACTGAGAAGAGAAGCTGTGGTCAGCCCTGTGCTGAGACATGGTGTGTTTAGGGAAGGACGAAGAGGAGAAGCAGGAGTGTGATTTGCTCTCAGAGGTAAAGGGGTCAGGGGAGGTCATCTGCTGCTCTTCACAGGGAGATGAGAGAGGATGGAGAAGTGACCACTTTTATGATAGAGTCCCCGTCTCTTTTTCAAATAACAGAACTAGACCCCTCTGTTGTGATAGACGCATGGTCACTCAGAATAAAACCACATTTCCCAGCTTCTTCAGTGTGGTTATGTGTGGCCAGTTGGGGTAACTAGACGTAATATTTTCAGGAGTGACCTAAAATGGAGGGGCACACTCAGTATTCTGGAATTGTAGGGAGTATCATGTAATGACTGGGTGCAGTGTAACTCTGTGGCGGTTTAGCTACACTGGACTCTGAGATGACCTTAGACTGGCAACTACTCAGGACATAGCAGA